ACCGTGTGTCTTAGTCAGCTCGGGCTGCCATAACAGAACACCAGAGGCTTCGTGGCTCACACAACAGACGTTTGTTCTCACAGTTCTGGAGCACAGAAGTCCGAGATCGAGGGTCTCGAGATTTGAGAGCTCTCTCCCTGGCTTGCGAACAGCCGCCTTCCCGCCGTGTCCTCACATGGCAGAGACAGAGGGAGAGGGAGGTCTCCACTGAGCTCTCCTATCAGAGCAGGGCTCCACCCTCATGACCTCATTTAACCTAATTACTCCCTTAATTCCAGTACAGCCACACTCAGGGTTAGGACTCTCAGCATACGAATCTGGGGATTTGGAGGGTGTCCAAACATCCGGCCCATGACGCTGTGCAAACAACAGTTGTTCGGATATACTGTGTCTCCCCCAGGGCATTTTTTACCTAGTCTGTTGCCTCCCATAGCTGGGTGCAACACCTGGCTCACAGTGGGACAGTGGAAGAGGGCAGGGAGGGACGGAGGAAGTTGCTACATCACGCCAGTCCCCACAGTAGGTGCTGGGGAAGTGGATTCAGTGAGACAGACACCACCCCAGGCGGGACGAGCTCAAGCACAATGCCATTATCATCAGGTACCTTCCCCCAAAAGGCACCACAGAGAGAAAGATCTTCATCTTCAGAAGAAACAAGAACTGGGAGAGGGGGAAAGGGAGACAGCAGAGAAAAAGAGAGAAGAGCAGAGGGGAGGGGAGGGGAGGGGAGGGAGAAACAGATGACGGAGCAGAGAGGAGCAGCAAAGAGAAAGTCCAGACACGCCTGCGGATCACGTGGCACGTAGCGGGGGAGCAGGTTCAGGTGCCTGGATTCAGAAGATCCACGCTCGTCTGTGAGATCCACCACGAACTAGCAGGGAGCTCCCAGCAGCACAATTGCTCTGAGTTTCCAACTCATCCGTCTGTGAAATACAGGAGTCCTATTCTGCTCAGGCTGCTATAACAAGGTATCACAGACTGGGTGGCTTAAACAATGGAAATTTATTCCTCACAGTTCCGGAGGCTGGCAGTCCAAGATCAAGGTGAAGCTCACTCAGTTCCTGGTTTGCAGAAGGCTGTCTTCTGGCTGTGTCTGCACCTCTCAGAGAGCAGAGAGAGACGTTACTCTCCCATGCCTCTTCTTATAGGGCATCAATCCCATCCTGAGAGCTCCACCCTTAAGACCCGGCCACCTCCCAAGGGCCCCACCTCCTGACACCATTACACTGGGGATTAGGGTTTCTACATCTGACTTTGGAGGGGGGGGACATGAAAATATAGTCCATAACGGGAATCCATAAAGCCAGCCTCCGTCTCCGGATTGCCTTCGGGGCCAGAACAGTGGTTCGTCCCTCCTTGCTTGCAGGCACCCTGCAGAGTGGCACAGTGCAGGTTCCCCGTAAATAGTCAAGGGATAAAAGCAGGACGGAAGAACAAAAAAGAACTTTTATAAACTCTAAAGTCCTAAGCAAACAGTGCTCAGTTTCCCCAAAATCCCAGAACAGACCCGGGAGCCCTTGAAGAAAGAGCATTGTGTGCATGATTTCTGACTTTCTAACCCCAACTCAGTGTCCAAAAGTGCAGGCAATCCAAGAAAACATTCCCCAAGCATGTCCTGTACGCCTGTCACGGTGCCAAAAGCTGGGGCGAAAGAGACAGCAAGACCCAGAGCCTGTTCTCCAAACATTCCCAATCCAGGGAGAAGAGCTGGTGTTCAAACAAGGTGGACGCTTCTTCCGGAGACAGAAGGAACCCGAAGCCATGGGGGAGATAAGAACTGAAGGTTCCAAAGCCTGGCCTTTAACATTGATTATAATAACTATCACCCGCAATGATAACTGCGGTGGGTACTCATCTGTGTGGCCAGCTGCTGGATAAATTGGACTGAAAGAGACCCAGAAACGCTTTCGCTTTCCGGGGGGTGGCTCGGACTCCCAGCCTCTGCAAAGCCCATCGCGGGCACCGCCGAGAAAGCTCGGCGTCTGCTGGTGTGACAGATTTTATCAGAAGAAGCAAAACTAGGCACATTTTCCCCTAGACTTCTGAATCCCTCCTCTGCATTTGCCCTCATGTTTTGACATTAATTGAACTCTGTCTTCACTACTAAAAATAAACTCCAGGTCAGATGCAATGAGCCAAAAACCTCAATATGAAACCACAAGAAACAGTAATAGTAAAATGGGCCAGTAGCAGAGGTGTTTTGAGAATCCGTTTCTGTTTCAAGGGTAGAGTTCCGAGTGGGTCGGGAATTCTTTCAGCAAACACTCCGGACACTGAATAAAGGAAGCAACCTTGACACACGTAGCCTGTGGCCAAAGACCAGGGCTGGCTCGTGTCTGAGGACAGGCAGGCAGGTGACTTCAGACACCCTCTCACCAAAGGCTAGAGAGGGCTGGCTTGGGAGTATCAGGCAGGACCCAAGAGATGCTCCCAGAGGGAGGCGGGCCCAGGAGAGGAGTCCAAAAAGGCAAGGTGAGCGTCAAAGGGAAGAAGGCAACGCTGCGCGCAGGTGCGAGGAGGGGCCGGGATGCGACAGAATTAACACAGTCAGGAGCCAGACAGGTAAGGAGGTGGGAGAGAAGCAGATAACAAGGGCTCCCTCTCGCTGAGCATCTCTTCAGGCCAGGATCTGCAGCTGAGAAAAAGAGGCGTGGAGAGCTATAAAGGACTTGCCCAGGGTCACAGGGGGTAGAGGGAAGTGCAACTGGGGTAAAATCCCGGTTACGGCAGGAACAGTGCAAACAGTCCCAGGGATGGGAAGGGTGTGGAGGCCTGCTGTTGGCGTGCAGCCCAGGTGAGCTGATTTCTAGGCAGGGATGAGGGCAGACAGGCTCCCAGTGGGAGAGCAGTGCCTTTAGAACAAGTAGCACCACAGGCACAAGCACAGATGTTTGGGCTTTTCTCAGAGCCCCTAGGACAGAGCAGCCCTGACCGGGGGACGCCTTCAGGTCTGCGAGCCTCGGATTCCCAGCGTCTACTCCTGCTCTGTCTGCTCCCAGCAGCTGAATTCTAGGGAACTTCCTCTCCCATTAGCCCCAGACAGACCTGCCAAGCCTTTCCTCCATCAACAGAACGGTTCTTCCAGCTTTCAGATTCTCCGCCCCAGTGACTGGACTGCTATCTGCCGTTTTCCCGGACGCGGGAACAGCTCGCTCCAGCCCTGCAGGTGCTACCGGGAGCGGGGGAATCCCAGAACAGGTGACTGCACGTCCACGTACACACTCCTGCACCCCAAGCTCGTGGCCTGGACCGGGAGCGTGGGCTTCTGAAACAAAACTCAAGGACTGGTTGAGTGCTTGAGGGCCCAAGAAAGGCACGCAGCACTTTCACAGGATGGCCTGAGAGCTGCACTCACTGTGGCTGCCTCCTGACACCAGAATCAGCAAGTAAGTAGATGGTGAAATAAAAGCGAATGGCGAACGTGAGCGTGCAGGGCTGCCGAGCGCCCGAGGACGGAAAGGCTCGTCAGCTCAGCTCCTGGTAGGTCTTCTTCATACGCCATCTTCCAAGAGTCTCAAGGGGCAGCACCCTCTCCCGGAAGCCTCTCGGAATGGACAAGGGACCCTCCCCAGGCCTCCCAGATTCCTGGTGAATCTGGAGAACCCTCTGTGTGTCAGGGCCGGCCGCCACGTTGACCGAAGGGCAAGGCCTCGTGCCCTCCGTCTCTGTGGGTCACATCAACACGATCCTCAGCCGCGTCCTCAGCTCTACCTCCCTAACTGTCTTCTCACCAGCTCACACTTTCTCACCCAAACTTCCACCCTCGAAGAGCTTTCCAGTGTGTGGTAGGCCTCATTTTTCCTTTTTCCAGCATGTTACTTATCATCTCAACGCCTTGCTGAAGAAAAAGAAAATGTGACCGACCTCACTCTTTGCTCTAAATCTTCAGCAACTTTCTCCCTTTGGTTCCCACTCTGGCTTTTCCTCTCTATGCCCTCTTTTTCAATGATTCATTCATTTGTTCTTTCAATGTCCACAGTGGGAGGCCCAACGCTGGGGTGTTAAGAGTCCTTGCTCTAAACAAACTCACCAGTGACCGGGGGGATGAGTAGGGGGACGGGCAGGGGAGGGCAGGAGAAGTCACGTGGCACATAAACGCATGCCTTCAACGGCCGGCTACAGCCCGGTGTGGGGAGGAATCAACTCTGCTCAGGTCGAGGGGGCTGTGCACGACCGAACGTGATTCACAAGCCGTTTCCCAGGCAGACTTGGTGGCAGGTGAGAGGCAGAGAGAACAGCAGAGCAAGGACTGGGAAAGAGCCTGCTGCATGGCAGGACCTCTAAATGGTGTAACTAATGCATTGAAAACAAACAAACAAACAAAACCCTCTTCCGTTTTGGAGCATTTCCTCCTCTGTGAAAGGCAGAATGGTAAACTCTTTATCTCCACCATCTCACTCAGCACCCATAACATCCTCCTGGGGCACTCATAGGACCCCAATTTTACAAATGAGGAAACTGAGGCTTGGGGAGAGGCCGACGCAAGTAGCAAAACCAGGAAAACCGGGGTTTGCCTAAAGCCGTCAGTTTTAACCTCTCACCCTTTTACCCCAAGCAGCCTGAGACGCGGCAGCCGGCGCACGCAGTGCAAGCAGGCAGGGAGAGAGGAAGAGGTCACTTCTGGATGCCCCCGAAGGCCTGCTGACCTGATCACGTAATCCCAGCAAACTCAGCCATCCTCTCCCCCCGCGTGGGCTCCACGCACCTCAGCAGGACGGCTGGGCCATCCCCACCTTCTGCCAGGGGGGAAAGTGTGGTGCATCCACCTAGGAGATGGTGGACTCCTTCCTCAGCTGGGGACAGAGGGATTGCCCCCCTGGCACAAGGTCCAGGCACTGAGAACCGGGTCCTGTGTATCAGGGTTATGGAAAGCCAGCTTCCCAAGCACAGGAAGCTGGGCCGAGCAGTCAGAAACCACACCCCAAGCTGTGCTGCGAGAGATCACCAATTCCAACAGCCATCTTTGGTTCCATAAGGCTCAAGAGGAGAAAATCCCTTACCTTGATTCTTCACATCCCATGATATTCCAGCTTTCGTTCAGGGAAGAACAGTTTTCAAGTCCCTCTGGAGTATTGAATGGATACGTATTCTTTTTTTGTCAAATTAAAGGCACCTAAATCCCAGGTGGAACAGGATGCTAGAAACATACAAGAAAAGGGAATTATTAGTGTCACTGCTCACATGAATGAATTTGGTAATGAGAGATTTCATTCATTTAAAAAATAAGAAGTGCATATTTACTCTATGCTAAATGAGAAGCATCTGAAGAGCAGGCATTTATTGAGTAGCTATTATGTGCCAAGGACTGTGTTGGACATTTGACCACATGAAGCCACTTGACCCTACGAGATCGGTCTTGGCAGCTCCATATTTCGGAAGTCACGTAAGCAGCCAGGCCACAGAGGGTCAGGTGTTCCTGATTCCCAAGCCCCCCCTCCATCAATCATGGTCCCCTTCCTTCCCCGCTAAAGCTTTTTCATTCATCTGATTCCAGGAATTCTGGGTAGAGGGGAAGGAGAAACATACCCAACAACTTAATTCTGAGAATGGCCAGTCCCTGGAAGCCCAACCCATTCTAGGGACGGTGGGGAGTACGTGAATCATGGGAGCTGCATCAGATTCACTTGGTTGTAAGCTTTATCTGCCCTCAACACTGTCACGTAGTAACATGGGATCAGTGGACACCATGCGTTACTCAGGAAACCAAAAACGTAGCCTCGCCAGAGATTCTTATCCTAACTGCTAATGGAGATGGCTTACATGAAGAGGCCAAAAGGGTGGAGTGGTGTGGGGAATGGGTCCCGGGGGCCGCCCCTGGTTTACCAGCTCTGGGAGGACCTCCTAAAATCCCCGGAAGCAGGGCTGAACGCTCAGCTGGGTGGGTGCAGACACGGACCCTCTCCTCTCCTTCAAGGGGTGGTGCAGCACCCACAGAAAGCCACACTGTCACATTTACAATGGGGTGATCCTTTCTCCTTCCAGACCTCCCTCCTGCCCACCCCTACTCCCCGCAAAATCTCCCAGCATCGTGGCTGCCAGATCGTCAAGGAGACGAGGCTCAGTGAGCACAGACTCAGGAGACAGAAGGCTGACAAGTTCTGAAGGGGGATTTGCCCTCAAGTCTGGGAAGAAGCAGAGCAGCACATAGGCTGCTCGCTCAGCTGAGAGAGAGGAAGCCAGACAGTTTGGATTCCCCGCCATCAATTCCCTCTCTCTCCTCCAGGAAAAAAAAAACTCGGCCCCGGTTTGCCTCTCTGAAGCCTTCTGATTGTCACATTCCTCCCTTGGATGTGTTAGCATCACGGACCGACCTACAAGAGCTCTGCAAGCCCCAGAGAGTTCCTGTCTGCTCCCATCAAGCGCTGGTTAAATCCATCCGAGTCCCAGTTCCCAGCAGGAGAGGGCAAATCCCCCCTCCCTCAGAGAAGCCCCCTGGACTAGCCATGCGCTGAGAAAGATGCCACCCTCAGCACATCCACGCTCCCTCTGTGGGCAGCCTCCCACGCTTCTCAGACATTTTGACCAGGAAAGCACTTTTCGCCTCATTGTCGAAATGCATTCGCTTCATTACCCAAAAAAGGCAGCAGCCCAGCTTCCTGGTTGACTGTAGGCTCTTGTCAGAGTGCCTGGCTTGGCATCCCAGTTCTATGACTGAAAAGGTCCTTTGAGGAGCCTGCGCGAGCGACTTCAGCTCTCTGAGCCTCAGTTTCTCATCTTAAAGGTTTGTTCTTAGTGTGAGGTGAGAATCCCCGCAGAGCTCAGCTCTTGGCCTGGTGCCTTACGAACACTTAGAAACGTCAGCTGTCATTAGTACCGCACTTAAGCAAATGCCCGGGCCCTAAATTCTTCGTCTCCTCCCAATAAGGGGGGGAAAACAAGGTCTCCCCTCTGTCTCACCACCATGACTTGTTCAGTGCGAGGCCTCAGTACACGGGGGGCTGAGGGAACCAGTGAAGCCAACGCAAACAGCACTAAAGGCTGAGGTCTGCGTCACAGCTAGTCAGCTCCAGGCCTGGCTGTGGCTCTCACGTCTCAGTTTATTCATCTGTGAAATGGAATGGATTATGACACTTACCCCATCTCCCAGATGTGCTGCCAGGATTAAGTGAGATCGTGCACGCAAAAGCGGCTCTGTAAACTCTGAGTACTAGGGAAATGTAATATCCTCTCGGACCTCAGTGAGCACCTACCAGGATCCCAGGAGGTCAGGTCACAGGTATGAACTGTTGGTGTGCAGGCTCATCCCTATACCCCTTCTCCTTGTAAGGAGCCTACAGGAACCAGAAGGTCAGCTCCTACAGAAAAAGAGCCTCTCTCCAAGGCAGCCAGACTGATTAATGTTTTTAATTAATGTTTTAAACCATATGCACGGAGCAATGTTCCATGGAAATTAGGGAGCTAAAATTTCTAACTTTCTCCCAGGGGTCGGCCCAGCCAGAGAGAGGCGCGAGGGCAGAGCATGCGGAGGGGAGGGCGGCCTGGGCTGGCCAGGGTGCGAGTGGGAAGGTCACAGCCCTGCCTCAACACACGGAGCCTGACAGGCCGTGCGGTCACGTAGAGAGACAAGCCAGGGAGAAAGGAGACTGGCCGGGCACAGGGTGACAGGACGCGCACGGCTGCTCCTCCCAGGAATCTGGCAAGCGCAGCAGAAGAGGAAGCGGGGCGGCAGGACGACGCCCAGCAGGTAGCATGTGCCCGGGGCCTGGGCCTGAAGGGAGAAGGGGCTGCTGCTCCTAGACCTTCCTGCCTGACACGCTGTCCAAAGGGCAGACTTCCACCTGCTCTGTGGCTCTCGGAGATACTCTACACTTGAATCTGAACCAAGGGGGCCACGGGCTTTCGTAGGGATGCTGACAATACTTCCCTGATGTCGCCCGGGACGGAGGGAGATCACTGCTGGGGCCCGGCACTGTGCTCTGATGAACGGGGAGCCTGAGTGCCCATGATGGGCAGACCCGTGACCCCCAAGGTCCCAAGGAAGTGAGGGGCGGATGGGGGCCCAGACACCAGCCCCCTGGCCGGGACCTTCCTTGCTCTGCCTACAGCATTTCAAGCGTGTCACAGTTCCAGAGCATCTACTCCTTTCTACCACCTGAAAAAAGGGGCTGTACCATCTTCCTTTCTCCAACGAGAAGGTAAGGGGCACAGAGTGTGACATAGAGCACCAGTGATTAATCACCAGCTCTGCTGTGAGCAAGGCCACCGTGGCACTGGGCAGCCGGCCCAGACGCCACATGGATGCCGCCTGGGCAGCAGGGCCACCTGGGCACACTGATGGCAGCCAGGACCAGCCACCCCATACAGGGCCCTGGGCTGCTTGGCAGGAAAGAGTGAGCCGGCCATGAAATAAGCGACCGCACGGGGACTCCTGACCTGGAAATCATCAAAATGCCACCCGTTCACAGCAAACAGACCATAGTGGTGGGCTGCAGTGCCTACAGGAACAGAGGACAGGACAGCTTCCCCCAGGAAGCCCCCGAGAGTAGGCCCTGGCCTTGGGATGTGTTTGTTCCCCCCGGAGAAGGCCCCGGAAAAGGACATAAACACAGGTACTGCTGTGCCTCTCCTGGAGGGGCAAAGCTGGTGAAGGCCCCAGCCTGGCTCACACGCTTGCCCCGGATTCTACGAGATCCAGCAGGCCAGAGCGCAGAGGCAACACGTACAGACTCAGAACACAGGCTGCCTGGGTCAGAGCTAGTTCCCACCAGTCAGCACCCGTGCACCCTGGGCGGTCTACTTAACCTCCCTGACCATCATCTGTAAATCAGGGCTGGGGAGAGCAGCTACTTTCCGAGACTGGGGTGGGGACCACAGCAACGTACGTAGAAAGTACAACGCGACGTGTGGCTCGGGGTAAATGCTTAACACTTTTGTTATTCTCGGTGTCTAATCGCTGTCATTATTCCTGTTGCCTAGCAGGCAGACTGACAGTCCTGGATTTGAATCCCACCTCTGCCACTTCCTGGGAATGTGACCAGGGACCAGTCACTTGGCCTCCCTATGCCTCAGTTTCCTCATCTACAGAAGGCGGACCAGCCACATGGCACCACCAAGGATTACAGGGGCACACGTAGCAAAGCGAGGGGTACGGTATGAGCTTTCAAGAATGAGGGCCCTGACCCCAACTGAGGGGCATTCTACAAAGCGACTGGCCTGGACTCTTCCAAAATGTCAAGGTCCAAAACAGCCGAGGAACTGCTCTAGGATAAAAGGAGGCTAAAGAGACATGGCCACTAAGCACAGTGCTGACCTGTAATCAGAAAAAAAGTCCAAAAGGACTGTTATTGGAGCAAGTGATGAAACTGTGCATGGCCTGTGGACTAGATAATACAATTGTAGCAATGCTAAATTTCCAACATTTGATCATTACACTGTGGTCATGTAAGAGAATGTCCTTGTTCTTAGGAAACACACGCAGAACGTTTAGGGATAAAAGGGCAATGTCTGCAATTTACCCTGAAATGGTTCAGAAGAAAAATTGTGTGTGTGTGTGCGCGCGTGTGTGCAGGGGGCGGGGTGCAGAGAGAGTTAACAATCTGTGAATCTGGGTGTACGGTAGTTCTCGTATCATCGTTGTAATTTTTTCTGCCGGCCTGAAATCATACCCAAGTAAAAGATGCCCAAGAGCTGGGGGTAGGGGGGTGCGCAGGAGGGTGGTAACGGGCCTAAAGGTCTAGTACAGACCATCCATGCAGGCCCAAACCGTAAGCCTTTCCCACCAAAACCCAGTCACCTGATGTATAAATGTTATGATTTATTGTGTAGAATGCTACAAAGGATAAAACTGAAGTTGAATTTGAACTACCACCCCTCCTGCCAAGAAAAAGAAAGACAGATGACGGCTACTTCTATTCCCACGCCCCAGGGCCAGGCTTGGAGGGCCCACATCCTTGCCATCCAGCGGGGGGCGGGGGGAGCCCTGGAGGAAGGGAGAGGCAGCATGGACCACTGCAGCCAAGGCTGGCTTTCGCTACGTGCCAGGCAGTGATATGAGAGCTGTCTGCATCTTGAGTCATTTGATTCCCCCAAGAACCCTCCAGGCAAATTCTACTGTTATTCCCCTTCCACACTGCAGGAAACTGAGGCTGGAGGCAGCCTCCTGCCCGGGGTTTAATCTGGAGCACGAGTGAGCTGGGA